TCTGCTTCAACAACTTCTTCTTCAAGGTGCAGTGTCTTTTCTTGATACTTTCACCAAAACCACACTTGTTTTCTTAGATTACTTCAATTTAGTGAACTTCTGAACTTTCAGGAGAGTATCCAAGGACCAAAGAGCACAATCTAAAGGACTTCCTCTTTTCTTTCCTTGGCCTACTGGATTCTCCCCATTAATATACCACCGATACCTATATCTAATCTAAGCCTACACCTGCACCTGCACCTATATACCTATATCTATACCTGCAGTCATTGCCACAGCTATCTTGTTGAATAATTAAACTGAGAGGAAAAAAGGACCCTTTTCTTTGCTCTTTGCTGTCATCCATAATTAAATCTAACCTCTTGGAAGTTTAAAAAGACTAAATGATTCTTTATTTCTTTGTCAAAGCATCTGCCTTTCATTATTGAGAGGAGGCTAATCAACTACCTTGGAATTACTTTTAAATATAGAGCTATTTCTGCTTTTAAAAAAACACCAAAATATAAAATATGTCCCTTCATACTGCCAAATCCCATATACTCATTTTTTTCCTATTTATGCAAACAAAATTTCTGATTATCAATTGAGTCATTTAACTGTCTTCACGTTGAAACATTATTTTATGTTAGACTATACTGAAGAATTTGAAACATTAGCATTCAGAGACTATTTCCTATGATTCCTATGGGAATATTTCCTAGATTCTAAGTCTCTGTTTCCACGCTGGGAGAGTTGGGCAGTTTTCTCCAAGAGGTGAAAACTTTCTCCCCAAAGGTGGCCAGCACCAGATGACGTGAAGTCATTTTGTCTAGGCCCAGGAACTGCTAACACCACCAGCCGCCTTCGGGAGCTAAGTGGAGGAAGTATATTTGTTGCTGTTCTAGGTGCCACCGAGTCTGCCGCGAGCCCATGCGCAACCGACGAAACACTGCACAATCGTTCCTGTGCTGAGCCAATCGATGCAACGACTGTGTCAGTCCATCCCTTGAGGTCTTCCTCCTCCTCACTGCCCCTCCACCTTACAAACATGAGCTCCTTCTCCAGGGACTGGTCTCTCCTGACAATATGCCCAAAGTAAGTGAGATGAAGTCTTGCCATCCTGGCCTCTAAAGAGCACTCTGGCCTTACTTCTCCCGATACAGATCGGTTTGCCCTTTGAGCAGTCCATGGTACTTTCAATATTCTTTTCTATTCTTTTATGATTTTTCCTTAATTAGTATTTAAATATCACATGCATATGATGCAATGGAGAATACCATGACTTGGGGTAGGTGTTTCTTAGTCCTCAAAGGAACATCCATGCTGGTCAATACTCTAAAGAGATTTTGTGTAGCAGATTTATGGAATGCAGCAGATATTTTGATCTCTTGACTGCTGCTTCCATGAGCGTTGATTATGGATCCAAGTAAGATAAAATCCTTGACAACTTCAACCTTCTCTCCATATTCCATGATGTTACCTGTTGGCCCAGGTTCTATTCTTCCTTACATTGAGTTGTTATCCACACTGAAGGCTGCAATCCTTGATCTTCATCAGCAAGTGCTTCAGGTCCTCCTCACTTTTAGCAAGCAAAGCTGTGTCATCTGCATCCTGCAGGTTGCTAAGAAACCTTCCTCCAATCCTGACACCGTACTCTTCTTCATATAATCCAGCTTCTCTGAGGATTTGCTCAGCATATAGATTGAACACGTATGGCGAGAGGATACAACCCTGATACCCACCTTTCCCCATGTGAAACCATGCAGTATTCCCTTGTTCTGTTCACACAACTGCCTCTTGATCCACGGGCATGTTTCAAACGAGCACAATAAAGTGTTCCAGAATTCCCATTCTTCTCAAGGCTATCCGCAGTTCAGCATGGTCCACATGGTCAAATGCCTTAGCACAGTCAATGAAACACAAGTAAACATCTTGATTGGAACCAAGATCCATCTGACGTCAGCAA